ACATTACTTTGGTCTATTGAGCAAACTCATTCGTTGCCTTTTAAACATTTAGACATTTAACTTTTAGACATTTAGACATTAGACATTTAACTTCCACAGCTGTACAGTTGGCAAGGAGCAAAAGAATATTTAATATTAAAGAGAGAATATTCTAAAGCATCACGGCATTCTATGGTATGGAACACACTGTAATTAGTGTACATTAACTGAAAAAAGAAATTACATATGGAATTAGTGAAGGAAAAGGTGCTCATGTATTTATTTCCTTGCTAATACGCAATCAAATAAGACAAACAAATAATTCAGCAATTCAAACTAATAAAGGACTGATTTTCTAAAAGATTCTGTCTTCTAATGCATTCACCAGAATAGAACTCAGAACAACTTTTGGTTCTACAGGTCTTGAAGCCCTAAATCAAATAAGCTTCATTTATTTGAAATGAATATTTCAAAGAGGTATTACCTCTCTTTCATTAGAATTTTGTGTTCCAGGGCGCCTGGGTGGCTCACTCGGTTAAGCATCTGCCTTTGGCTCAGGTCATGATCCCAGAATCCTGGGATCCAGTCCCGCATTGGGCTCCCTGCTCATCTCTACCTTTCCCCCTCCACTCATTCTCTCTCTCTCTCTTTTGCAAAAATAAATAAAAATACTAAAAAAAAAAAATTTCTGTTCCACATCAGAAATAATCCATTCGTTCAAGAAACAGTTACTGTGCAATGGCCTCAGGCACTGGAGATAGAGCTGTGACAGTTTTGCCCTTTAGAGCATTGAGTTTAGCAAGAAAGACAAACAGGAATGCAAGTAATTGCAACCAAGATGAATAGCGTTAGGATGAAAGAAGCACACAATGTCATGGACACCCCCAAGGGACCTACCAAGTCATGGGGACTGGGAGTGACAGTAGGAAAGGAAGGTCCTCTGGGGGAGGTGACATTTCAGATAAGACTTGACAACTCCACAGGTAAGATTAAAGGTACACATTGCATTTTGCTTCTTCAAAAAACTCCACTAAAACCATATTAAAGAGGCTTTAAAAAATAAACCTATAAGAATAAGGAGAACAGGAAAAGGGTAACTGCTCCTCCTCTCTTCCAGCAGGAAGCTAGAAATGTACTCACTAGAAAGGGTAAAAGAGAAAGTCATCGATCAAGAACATGGTTCAGTGACCATACATAATGGGAAGATTAATACTGATGTCCCAGCAAAATCTCCTGCTCACTCCAAGAACACAGGCACCAGCCCTTCACCTGTCAGATGGTCAAGTAGGGGTGCTTCCTCAAGGGGAATGTGACCAGCCCAAGAGGAAAGACTACTGACACCAGGGCTTCTGGGGTGGGGGGGAACAACAGACCCACCTAGATCTCTCCAGTAAAGCTCCAAGTCAGTTAGCTTCACTCTCAGGCTCTTAATCATGAACAGAAAAGCAAGGTTGATTATCAGATATATCAAGAAAGCCTCTAGCATGGAAGATAGATACCGTACACTAAAAAAACAAACAGAAACAAAAAAGCATTTTGGAGGAAATAGAGACTATACACAGAGAAAAAAATTAAGAAAAACAATCATTAACATCCCTAGATAGATAAGATATTACAGGTTCGAAATTTAAAAAGGATCCTATAAAAACAGAAGAATTCAAAAAAACAAAAAACAAAAGAACTCAACAGTAGGGTTGAAGAAAGAGAGAGTAGATAGTAAAGGCAAAAATAAAACAGAAAGACAAGAAAATTGCAGGACCAGACCAAGCAATTCAACATCCAAATAAAGGATTTCCAAAAAGAAAGAACACAGAAAATGGAAGGTAAAAATCATCAATGAAGTAAATTAAGAACACTTCCCTGAATTGATAGATAGGAGTTTCTAGACTGCTGAGTGTCTGGCCCAGCTGACTCGCACAGCACTTATCATGTACACATCGATTACTGTTTTAACTATCTTATGTATATAAACTTGCTCAATCGTCATGGCAACCCCAGAACACGGATGCCTTTATAATTATCATTTTACAAATGAAGAGACTGAGGTACAAAATGGCTAGGCAACTTGCCCAAGATCACACAGCTGGTAAGAGGCAGCACCAGGATCGGAAGACAGGTAACATAGCCCCGGCACCCCTGACACGATACTACCATGCAGGCGGGAGCACCATTGTAAAATTTCAGAATACACTGCAGACAGTTCTATATGATCTTTTAAAACTAGGGGTAGCTATTCTTCCCATAGTGCACACAGGGCTTCATCCTCAACCAAGAGCCCAAGGGGAAACCCATGCAGACTCCCTTTCTCACCTCCACACACAACTTTCTTCCCTCCGATACCCCGTCCTACAAATTTGAGTCACATCGGAAGCTCTAAATTCCTATTCCTGCTTCCCAGCTCAACAAGAATACTGCTCTACCCTTGGGCTCACCGCCCTGCACCAAAGCCGAGAGAAGTATCCTCAGAGAGTAAGTCAGGGGAGAATGAAATGCTCCCCTCTCATCTCAAGGAGCACAGAGCCACCCAGTTGCTACCCAACGCTTGACAACAGTTGCCTACTACATTTTGCCTAGTTCTATAATTATGCATGGCAGGACAGTAAGTCTGAAACCAGTCCTTGTGTGTCTGAAGATATCTTTATTTCACCCTCCCATTTCAATAGTTCTAGGTCCAAAATTCTATCAACACTTCAATGTTATATTCCTGCAATCCAGTGTTGCTGTTGGAAAGTGAACATCAACTTGATTTTTATTATTTTCCCTATTTTTGCAACTGTTTCCTTTATTTCTCCAAATAATACAGCTTTAAATTTCTGCTCCATTTGTTCCATCAGGTCTGCTCCCTCTGATATAGGTAGGTTGCCTATGTCCTGTCATTCTTCATGATACTTTTATTCTTTAGATGTGTCATGATATTTTTCAACTGGGACTTCAACAGTAGCATTCCTGAGACCATCGGTTGCCTCTGCTTTGATGACTACAAAGGTGGCCCATTGAAAAGAGAGGGTCAGCTGGTGTCTTCACTGTGAGGGACGAAGATCGAGTTAAGCGCCTCTACTGCAGGTCTCTGGGCTTAACTGCGCTTGTTTTCGTTGGCATTTCTTTCTCCTTTAGATGCACCACCTAGTTCCTCTGTATCCGAAACTGCTTTCTTGAACTGGAGTTGGGGGAGACAACTCCAGTCCCCACTGGCCATTGGAGCTGGCATTACAGATTTCAACACTGAGATCAGAGTTTCAGGGAGGTAGACTGTTGGTATAAAATCATCTATTAGGTAGGGCCCTGGTGTTTCATTTTCTGTCCTGGACTGAAAACAGCAGGCAAAGTCATTGTAGAAAATCCAACTTGGAGCATATACTCCATGTTTGCAAACACAATAGACAAGACTCATTCAGCTCCTGTCTAAGCCTGCCCGACCGAGATCACAGCTCCCACCCTGGACTGGCCCAAGACTCCATCTAGAGACTTCCACCTTTGTCTTCTCTCTTCTCCCCCTTCCCATCTCCCAGCCCTCTCCTCCACTAGCCCATCATTTTCTTTAGAGTTTCTCAAAATTCTGATACAGTTTTCAAGTCTGCCTCTGGATTCATTCTGCCTTTCCATGCCTTTGCTGGAATTTCCAGATTTCAGTGCCAGTGGAATGTTTTTAGCTCATCACTTTCATGGAAGCCAGAAGTCCACCCTCCTCAGGGATCATTCTGGGGATACTCCCTGTGGACCTTCCAGCCCAATTAGGTATGCTACAGCAGGCTGTGGGAGACATAGACCAGGCCAGTCTCACAGGAGGAATCAATGTTAGGACCTGCACTGTTAGAACATCTGGCCAGAATTACTAGTGACTGTGAGATGGGGTGGGGCATTTTCATTTAAGACACTTCCCACCCTGACCCCACGCAGACTGCAAAGTAGCTTAGTTCTAATGCCAGACATTTCTCAAAGGAAGCAAAACATCCAAATTTCTGGTAATGATGACATGCGTCTATATCTACATAGTGCACAACCCAATACTTAGAATTTTATCATGCTTGTAAGTACCTATATTTCCATATCACTTATCTATATATCATTACAGAAATTATGAAAGTTTGTCTTCTTTAGAAAGATGAGTGGAAGACAAATTTCTTTTGTATGGTAACAAGTCATGGTGCTCCAAAATAAATATATTTCCTTTATCAGTAAAAAATAGCAGTTTCCTGCTCTACAATCAACTCTCATTATTCATAGTAATGTTCTATAAAGTTGCTGCAAACACTGAATTAGCAAATACTGAACCATTGCTCTTAGGGGAAACACGGGATTAGATTCCTGAGAGCCTCTGCTCACAACATTTTCATCAAACAATCAGTACATCATATGGTTTTATGCATGCTTCTCTTTAAAGACATTTTAATATATATTGTTATTCATTAACAATGAACATAGCCAACAGCATTATAACTCATGCCTGAAGTAAGCTTATCTAACGTATTTTCTCTGTAAGTCACATCACAGTCTTCTTGTGCTTGGGACATTAGACAGTGCTTTAACATTATACTCGCAAGCCATTTCAAACAGCAAAATCATCAACAAAAAGCACCCAAAAGAATACAAAAATCATGGCACTAAATAGACCATGAAAAGGACACTCATGTACAGTATGAGAGCTGAAATGAGAAGGCAGAGCCGTGCTTTGTTCCACCTCGGCTGGAAATGTGCACATCGGGTGGCTCAAATTTTTCACCACTCTATGTGTATCCATGAATGACTCACCCTAAATACTGATTTGGGGGTTACAAATAAATTTCAGCAAGTAGGAGAATTTGCAAATATGGAATCTTGAATAATGAAGATTGATGTATTATTAGTGCTTGTATAATGATGGGGAAAAAACTTTTTGTTAAAAGAAAGGAGTCTATAAAATGCCTTGTAAAGGGTATTTTGTTGACCTTGGTATACCCCTCACCCTCTCACCTCCACAAACAAACCTCTTGATTAACTAAGAAATGTTTTGTGCAATCTGCAGCAGTTTAGAGCCTACTAACATTTTATGCCGATCTGGTGGGTGTCTAGTAAAGAGAGCTCCGAAGCCTGTAGCAGGTAATCCAGTGTCCCTGGAAACAAGACAATAATTTTTAGAAAACATGTCAGACTGACATTTATAAACTTTCAAAGCCATATAAAACTAATTTGGGGCTGAATATTTTTATCCTTTTTTTATTTTTCATTTTTTATTTTAATACCAGTGTAGTTAACACAGTGTTATATCAGTTTCAGGTGTACAATATAGTGACTCAGCAGTTCCGTACAAAGAAAGTACTATTTAGATTGCAGTTGACTAATAATCTAGTTATTCAGGCTGCTAAGACAGGGAATGATAATAGTAAAAATATGGCTTTAGGTAGGACTGATCAAACAAATAATGGTGCTTGGCATTGAGAAATGGCTTACTGTTTTATATTAATAATTATAGAATAAAATTGATAGTACCTATAATTGAAGATATACCTGTTAAATGTGGGGGGAAAGTAGGTCAACAGAAGCTCCTGTGAGAACGAGGTTACCAGCTGGAGGTGGGTACAGTTCAACTTGCTCAAGCAATAACAAGGCAAGCACCTGCTTCAACTGTTGATTATGTAAGCAAGAATAACCATGACGGTGCGAGTAGTCAGAAACTGATTTACTTGAGAAACTGCTATATCGGGGCGGGGTGGGGGGGCGCCTGGGTGGCTCAGTCGTTAAGCGTCTGCCTTCGGCTCAGGTCATGATCCCAGGGTCCTGGGATCGAGCCCTGCATCGGCCTCCCTGCTCGGCGGGAAGCCTGCTTCTCCCTCTCCCACTCCCCCTGCTTGTGTTCCTGCTCTTGCTATCTCTCTCTCTGTCAAATAAATAAATAAATAATCTTTGAAAGAAAAGAAAATGCTGTATCAGGAGCACCAGTTATTAACGGGATTGGTCAATTTCTGAATCCTCCCTCCAATTATAACTTGTATAACCATGAAGAAAATTGTTACAAATGCATGTGTGGTTACAGCTGGGGCTGAATTTTTATGATAGTTTCTTAAAGGTTATTCATGTTTGCAACTTTCATTCACTTTGCAAAATAAAATGTCCCGACAAGTAAATGAAAAATTCAGCATTTTGTCATTGTTTTGACTGCATTTTCCAACAATTACAACACAAAACAAGATGAATGGAAAGACTTTTCCACGGAAAGACACTGTGCCAAGCTGCAGGACTACAGATATGAAGAAGAAACAGTTCCTATTCTCTAGGAACTATCTCAGGGGAAACACACATACATATAAATAACTAGAATGTAAGTCCAACTGTTTTACAGAACATGCTAAACAAAATGCTCAGAGGGCAAGAATATAAGAGCAATTAATCCTGATCAATGACAGCTTACCCTAATTCTTACTGCTTGTCAGGCAATATTTCTATGTACATTTCATACTTCTCTTCACCTAAACTTCAGAGCAACCTATGAAGTAGATACTTTTATAATTCCCATTATATAGGTTGACAAGCTGAAGATTATAGACACTATTTCACAAGTAAATTGCGGAGTTGGTGTTCAAACCTAAATAGTCAGAACACTGACCAGAAAGAAATGCATATAGAGGAGGTAACATTTTAGCTGGACCCAGAATGGGTAATGCTGATTGGCAAACAACTGAGGGAAAGGGAATTCCAGACAGAGGGAATGGCATGAACAGAAAACATGGAAGCTTGAGATATGTTCATTGTGATTGATGTGGTACTGTAATGTGTAGCTGGGGTCGCTACACCTCCTCGCTACTCATACAAGTCCCTTCCAGCATGTGTATGTTCTGTAAGCAAAGGAAAGTAGTAAGAATACCTTTCAATAATCCCAGAGCTCATTGTCTCATCATTCAATAAAGCCTTTCTCTTTGTTTTAGCCAATTCTCTGTTTGAATAAACTTGTGCCATTTGTTCATTTGTTTCTGATATCCAAATCTGGAAAAAAATGGAAGCCACATATAAGAAAAACACATACGTTGCCCAAAACAGTCAGTTACTAAAATACTTTTTGAAGTACATTCTGATTTTAATTATTGATGCTGTTGACATTAAAAAATAAGTACCATCTCGGGGCGCCTGGGTGGCTCAGTTGGTTAAGCGACTGCCTTCGGCTCAGGTCATGATCCTGGAGTCCCGGGATCGAGTCCCGCATCGGGCTCCCTGCTCGGCAGGGAGTCTGCTTCTGCCTCTGACCCTCCCCCCTCTCATGTGCTCTCTCTCATTCTCTCTCTCTCTCAAATAAATAAAATCTTTAAAAAATAAAAAATAAAAAATAAAAATAAATAAAAAATAAGTACCATCTCATAGCAGTTCAACTATTTCATCGTAAATATGTGAAAATGGCAATTCCTTACTATGTGTTATTGGAAAGTAAAAAATCAAATCGTTTGTTTCTATGAAATGCATTCAACCAAATACTAACTCTATGTGCTTTCTACTTTCTTCTCAAGGTTAGTATATTTTAATTTCCCTAAGTAAGAAAATGTTTGTAGCAATCACTTTGTAAATCACATTGGACTCAGATACCAGAACCACTGCCACCATCATCCATTCTCCATCAGAGGATTACTCAATGTATTACCAAGCACTTATTACTATGAGAAAGACCTGCAAATTGTAAGATGTACTCAAACCAATTGAAGAAGCATCATGAGTAACATTTAGGAAATCTTACAAACAATGGATGCTGAGGATTCAATATTTTTTTCCATTCCAAACTCTAGAAGATCATGAATGAATGCGGAGGTTCACAGAAGAGAAGCAGAACTCACCACTACCAAGAAAATCCATTACTTTCTCCAAACCTGAAGACATCCAATGAAGCCCTAGTCACATTAATCCCACCAGATTTTGTTTAAAAAAAAAAAAAAGGGAAAGAAAAGAAACCTCTGTTTAGATATTTGGAGACTTTAACTGAAAAATATCATAGCTATAGTCAAACACCTTTGGTCCACTTCAGGTTGGTATAATAAAGCTCTGCTATAACTAGGAAACGATCCTACTCAAAGCAATTTTAACTGTAATCTCTGGCCCTGGTTCCCTGGTCTACTCCATGGCTCTGTAGATCTTTGGCTTCTCTGACCACTGCTCTCTGAGACTTCAACCTCCTGAATCACCAGCCACCCAGCCCAATTTGCCAACTTTGACTCCTATACCCTTTGCTCAACTACTCTTCCTCATAGATTCCCAGGTTCACAAGTCAATGGTAAGAGACACTGTATTGAGCTTCATATTATACACTTTAACAAAAAATAAGACATTTCTTTTGGGAAAAAATTACTAGGCACCATTTTCATGTGTAAGATTGATCCAAAGGCACCTGTCAGTGCCTTCCACAGGCTAATCCCAACAGAAAGCCAGAAGGCAAGGAAGATCACTGAAGCTGTCCATAAAGGTCAGCCTCCGTGGCACAGAGCAGGGTTGAGACAGGGGGAAAGCAGATCTGGAGGGAGAAAGGAAAAACACTTGGCATAGTTTATCTTCATTTTAAGGAAGGAAAAATTAAGGCTGAAACAGAATAAGCAAGGCCCAGGTAAACCAGTGAGAAAGTAGAAGTTCCACAATTCAAAACGTTGCAGCCTGACCCATTCATTCATCAATCCAAATCTATGAAGTGCCAGGCTAGTGTAGGAAACAAACTCCAGAGGCTCCACTGACTAGAGCTTAGTGAGTTGCAGTAAATCATGGGGATAATGGTAATGACAACAGCACATGGCTAGACACTATTCTAAATGTCTTCACATTAAATGCTCATGAAAACTCTACTATTCTCGCTTCACACCTGAGGAAATAAAGACATGGAAAGTTTCAGACTCTTGATCAAAGTTACAACCTACTAAGTGGTGGAGCCAAGAATGAAAGAGAAGCCATCTGTCTCCAGGACCCACTCTTAACCTCTATTTCCTGTATCAGGGGCAAATGTCCCTCAATTTGAGACCTCCCATCTTTATCAGTATTAGAACCCCAAAATTTTAGCTAGGGACCTCGTGTTTCAGACTACATTTTCTAGTCTCCTTAATTTTTTTTTAAATGTTTAAAGTTTTTATTTAAATTCCAGTTAGTTAACATACAGTGTAATGTTAGTTTTAGGTATACAATATAGAGATTCAATACTCCATACAACACCCGGTGCTTATCACAGCAAGTTCAAGTCTAGTTTCCTTTCTACTTAAATATGATGAGTGACTGGTTCTGAACAACGAGGCATAAATGGAAGTAATTTATACAACCTCCAGGAAAGGTCCCGCTTCTGTTTTTCTTTTCCTCCTACATGAAATGTGGACATAATGACAGGTTTCTGGCAGCCATCTTGGGCTCTGCACAGGGATGGCAGGGTTTAAAGCTGGAAGGAGTAGGTTTCTGACAAACTTCCATACCAGTCCTGACCTGCTATCATCCAGACTTTTTACATGAAAGAATAAAACCTTATGTGAACAGCCACTGTTGATTTGTGGTTTCTGTTGCATGTGGGCAAACCTAATCCTACACCATTTTAATGTGAAAAATCACTTTGGTCTAGCAATGTTCATAACCTGACATAAGGGTGGATAATTTATAAAAGCACTAGCATATGTTTAAAAGTCTTTTGGGCAATATATATATATATATATATATATATATATATATATATATATAGTCACTCGTCATATTTGTGATATATATATATCACAAACTGGAGATTGGCAATTTGGTATGTGAGATTGCTAAATTAACACAGCACAAACTTGCCGGATAATCACTAAAATTTCCATTAAATTTGCATAATAAGTTCTAGCTTGAGTCAAATGGTAATATAAAAAATATCTAATGTGTGTTTAGGAAGTTCACTTCATAACATCATTCTTATTCCCCATTTTCCTGAGTATCAATTTTTCTTAAAGTCTCAACTTCTAATCTTCCAAGATGAACTCTTCCTATATGTGTGGCATTTAAGAAATCCCAGTAGTAGAATAGTGACTGTTAACTGGGTAACTGGTACAAGGAAAGAGAAAGTCATTTATAACTTCCCCTCAAGTTCCACATTTGAGGGTAACCAGACTCTTTCTGCTGAGGATGACTTACCCCCAGAAGAATCTCTCTTGGAAAGATTCATTTTAGTTGATCGCCAATTGACATTTCTTTCTTATGTTGCTTATAGGGTCCCCAGAAAGCAGACTCCTCTGACCCATACTTTAGGAAGTGCAGATACTTTCCAAGTCAAGTTCCCTCTGTGATGCCACAGGCTGCTTCAGGAATAAATCCGACCTCAGTCAACCAAGGTCCCCAACTTCAGGGTAACAGTTATTCAAATTCCCTAAGGCCCCACACTACAGCAGGAAGTAGCTTATCCCATGGGGAAAGGAGGGGTGGAACACAACATATACATTTTCTCTAAAGGGCTCCTCCAAATTCCAAATACTCTCAGCCAGGTCTCTTCAATTTCAACCTTTTCTTTCTTTTTCTTATCTTCAAGGTGGATGAGAGACCAAGAGGCTTGGAATCAGTTACCGCCCAAATGCTTTGCATGTTCTATGTGACAGATTTGGCACCTCACTTTGGAATAAAGAACTTGGCATCTATCATCTTAGATCTTCAGTCATATCTGAAGAGTTTTATTTTACCTGTTAAGTAGCACTTCCCCTACCAATTGTAGCTTTTTTGTACCATTGCCAAAAGGTCATCATCATCAACAAGTAATATCAAGACTTCATAAAAAGTCTTTATCTTTAAAAAGGGATGATTCTTATTTCTCAGCAGTTTTGCTCTTGGAAATTCTGGCTCTATTTTCATGTCTAGGAGAACTCAGTAGTAGTTCCATACAGAGATTATTTAAAGGATCTCAGAGAATCAGTGAGGCTCCCTCCCCATCATTATTTTGAACAACTGGGACACATGGGGTATGATCAGAAAAATGATTTCATTCTTTTTTTTTTACTACCTGTTCTATCTTTTCTTATAATCACCTCAGATAACAAAACAAATCACCTCGATAACAAAACAAAAACAGTCTCACTTAAGTAATGAATGTTGGTAGAATAATCACAAGAGGGCCTTTTAGTTGTCTTGTGATCTGAGGGAAGGAAAGAACAGAGCAAGTGAAGAACTAGAAAATCAGCCAACCCTCCCCACACAGACAGACCTCCCTGGCCTGGAGCAGTCTAGCTGGAGGAAGAGAAAATCTTTCATCTTAAATGAAATTCATCATTTTGATGAGATACTTTAATTACTGAAATGGGACCAATAGACTTGTTATGATCAGAGAGTGACCATAAAAATTATAAAATCTGCATAACATTTTATCCAGGGTTATAGAAAAGAACTCACTCCACAAAGTAGGGTGAACAGACAGTGGAGACAAAGAATACAGGTGTGTGTGCGATTGCATCTTTTGAGTGCCATTTGTTCAACATAACAGTGCACATGCTTTGGCAAACTGATATACTGAAAAATTAAAATCTGGTTTCTCTAAGAGTTAAATGAGGCATGATTATTGCTATAGAAAAAGAATTATGAAGGAGAATGACAGGACCAAAATGGCAGACGCCTACATTCATTCCTGTCCCAGATCCCTAAAAATGACAGAGCAGATACGCACTTGAATCAATAAACCCATAGCTGCATCAGTAGACATGGAAAGTACACTCAGTTGTCCTAAATTTATACAGAATTCCTGGAACAGAAGAGGCAGGTGCACTTGTGCTGATGTTGGAAAAGACGATCCAAAGTAGATCCACAAGAGGATGCTGGAACTAGTGGCATCAACTCCAAGCTCAGAGATGAGAGAAATCTGAAGCAAGAGGAGACTCTGACTCCATCACCCACTTGCCCCAAACATCTTCCTTTTTCCTGGCTTAAGTGGTTCTCCACCAATGGCATTTAAAATTATTCCATCTACAAAAATTTGATCCATATGCCTCTTTCAGGTACTTAGATCTGAATGCAAGAAGCATCTGTAA